GCTATATTTTTGACCTCTTCTATAAGCGGAAAGCCATAAGCAGAGGTAATTGGCTAAATTCTCTTGGCCTTTCCAGCTCGAGTAGCTTTCATATTTATTTAAGTGATGGCTCTATTACGGGTTTCATGATTTTTCTTACCACTAAAAAAGGAGGGACCAATGTTGGCTAAATATTCTTTTTCATGATATAGTGATGGGCTAGGGGTGGGATTAGCTTTGTTACACCATGTGTAATGCCCTTTCCCCATCTTTTTGACAGAACTGTATGAATATTGTATTAAAGAAGGCTATGCAGACAAAAACCTGATCGCAAAATGGAAAAAGCAGGGTTACGAGAATTTATGCTGCCTGCGGTGCATTCAGACACGGGACACCAATTTTGGGACAAATTGCATTTGCCGGGTCCCCAAAAGCAAGCTAGAAGTGGTAATGTCTCTACCCCTATAAAGCCTGACGATTTGAGTTTGATGTTACTTTTCAGTTCAGAATTCTGTCCTAGTTGATGCCAACGGATTTTATACTCTTTGGCCATCCCCCTGGGAGTGAGTCCCTCTGTTCAGGAATTCATGCTAGGTAGTTTGGCAATAATTGTGTTTGCTAGGTCTGGGGGCCAGTCTCAACTCCACATTTGGGCAAGTTATTGAACTCCAAGCCTCACTAATGAAATGGGAGAATGACACCCACCCCCAAGGTGGTTGGGAGGACTGTCAGGGAGGAGTGGGCCAGTCAGTATTGCTGACCCTCTGGTGGCCCATTTTTCCAGGCCTCCTTTTCCTCACAATGACACTTTAATTGCACTACATTTTGTCTGTTAGAACTTTTTGTTCCGAACTAGGCAGGGCAGCTCGGGAATGGTACTGAGTGTGCAGTAGCTGAGCTCAGGGTGCAAACTGAAATGGAGCTGCAGAAGGAGAGAAATTACTGGAGTGTTGGCCATTAGTGGCTTTCGAGTATACCCCTTGGCTGACTGTTGCGAGCCCAGCTGGGAGGTCAGACCAGATTGTCCATCTTTTGAGTTAGCCTTTCACACAGGTATCTCATCACAGGGTCCCTTTATTCTGCAGAGTAGTTACAATTTATAGAGCTTCAGCTCTGGGCCAAGGGCTTTAGCCCAATAAGCAGCTTCTCCCTGAATCGTCTGGAAGGTCAAGGATAGGGATTCTGAGCAGTGGAAAGTGAGAGCTGCCTCCCCCAAGGAAAGGCTCCGGGTGTTAGTTTTCTGCAGAGCAGGGACGGGTAGCAGGGCGCAGAAGCCCTTCTCATCTGAGAGCACCAGGATTCCATGACTGTCTGATTGGGGGTGCTACCCCAGCGCTGTGGCCAAAACAAAGCCTGCTTTAGATTTATTTAGTTGAGTTTCACCCAACTAATAAGATCGTCTTTGCTTAGACAAGGTTCTTACTCCCAGAAAAAAAGGAACAAGGAAAATATAAACCACTGCTCTGAGATCTTATGTCTGCTGGGCATGCCCCTGGCCAGACATCAGGCCACACCTGGCCTGGGGGACAAGACTGTTCTCTTGCCTTACAGATTCATATGTACACCTTTCTTCCCTGGTGTCCTCTCTAGAAAGTCCCCTAGCCCAGAGGGGGCCCTGAGGCCCCTGGCTCTAAGCCCCCTGAGCAGTAGCAGATCTGCCTCCATTTCATTGCAGGATATGTCATGCTTACTTCACAGAATAACAAGAATCATTCACAGATTTTTATCCCTTTTGGGGGAAAAAGTGTTTTATGTTGAATTTCCATAAATTAAATGCACAGAGATGTAACTTCAGTGTCAACAGCAGCTGTTTCCATCTTCACAAGGAAACCAAATTTTCACCATCCAAAACTGTCACAGAGGAGTTTCTGAGGCATGTCCTATAGTGAGTGACTGTCCTGTTGCCAACCTTCTCGCCAGAGGATTACTGTGGGGGGAGGGGAGGGAGGTGGCATTTGGTGGAAGTGCAGTGTCTCAGCTGTTCTCTGTTGCAGGGTCGAATCATCGAGTGCACGCACTGCGGCTGCAGGGGCTGCTCTGGCTGAGGCCCTCAGGCCCTGACCCCTCTCCACCCAAGACATTGGACTTCGCAGGTTTCTGCCTGTTGCACCACCCCCTTTGAGAGCAGCTCTTCTCTGAGGCCCTCAGGCCCTGACACCTCTCCGCCCAGGACATTTGACTTCGCAGGTTTCTGCCTATTGCACCACCCCCTTTTCGGAGAGCAGCTCTTCTCTCAGAGCGATGCCCCAGACTTGAGTTGGAACATGGTCTCTATGTGTGAAGGCTTTGGTGTTCATCAGCCATGATTTATAGAAATAAAACTTTTAAACCTTTGGGCCCTGTGTTCATTCTTTCACAGCGTCAGCAGTCTGTGGGACCCAGTGGGAGAGCACCAGGCCCTGGAGACCAGTCGCTTGGGACCTGACACTGACTCCACCTCCTCCACCATATCACCTTAGTCAAGTTCACTTTCCTTATCAGAAATGAGGATGACACCCTCTGAGGCAAGGATGGCCTGAGGTGACCTGCCAAGTTGCCCAGGCTACACTGGGACCAGCCGTGAACTTGTCATGCACGCTGGGTCCAGCATTTGTCGTCTTTACCATTTGTCCGCCTGCAAAATGCTGCAGCTCTTACTCTGGCCAGATCTTTCCTTCATGCTTGAGGCTACATCCATGTATCTTTAATATGAAAGGGATTCCTGGAGCTCCCACAAAGTACTGTGAAGGCTGTGCACTTTGTTCCAGCTCTGCCAGAGCTCCCCTGGGGCCTCTTTATCACCTCCCCCCACGGTCGCCATCCATACCATCCTTGGGGACAGTGTCTTGGTCCCCCTTGGGCTTGGTCCGGAACTTCTGCCACGGGTGGGGGATTTCCTCTGCTGGCATCACTTTTAGCCACTGCTTATAATAAGCTCGAAAGCCATCGATCTTCTCCAAGTAGGTGTTTTTTCCTTTGTACTATAATTGGAAAAGCATGGGATTCTGGAGTTTAGAGGAGCCACAATTAGAATCGCTGCACACTACCTACAGCTAATCCCAAACCCCAGCAGCTGGTTCAGGCCTCAGGGAAGTTGTTCCCCCTCCCAGGTGGTTAAGGGGAGAGGAAACGAAAGTTGTTCAATACTTGAGTAGCTTACTGGAGAGAAGCGTGTACCATGAGGCAGACCCATATTCCTATCTGCTAACAAATCCTAAATATATGTTGCTCTGCTCCTATCTCCAGGGATGTTCTCCTAACCACCCAAGTCAGAATCTCTGGGTCCCACCAATTCTGCCTCTATAGTCTGCTGAATGCCTCCCCCTCGGCAAAGCCACCGTCTGTTTTCTGACTGTCATCTCAGCACTGCTGCAGTGGTCTCTATAAAAAGATGGAAAGAAAAGGAAATAAGATGCACCAGGTACCAAAAGAAAGCTGGTAGAGGAATAGAAGAAACAAACTGTCGGAGATAAAGACTTACCACAAATGATAAAAGGTTTGAATCAAAATATTTAAGAATTCGAAACTTGTATGTACCTAATGCAGCCTGAAAGTACATAAAGCAAAAACTCGACAATCACAAATAAAAATAAGTACACCATCATAAGGGAGTATGAATATGTGGTTTGAATACAATAATCTTTGAGGCCTATGGTAGTCTGGTGACTGCTGACTGAACCTGAGAAGACCGTGAGTGGACCCTATATCACAGTGAAGAGAGTCCACTAACTAGAAGATATCTGCAATATGCAACCAATAAAACACTAGTATCCAGAATATATAAAGAACTCTGAGGATTCAGTAAGACAAGACTAACAACCGACTGCTCAAAGATGCCCAGCTATGCCCTCTGCCTAGCATATTCTCTACTGCTGTTTCACTAATTCTTAGCCTTCAAAATGACACTCAACCACCACACCTGCATGGCCATCCTTGACCCCATGCCTCCATGGCTTGGTGTGTCCTTGCTGACTTACCTCCCTCCCCATTGGGTTTGTGCTCCTCCAGGCCACAGTTGCTCTGGAGGAGCTCAGCACAGATCTGACTCAGTAAACCTAAAAACAACCCCCAGAGCCTGATAACCTCAGAACCGCAGGGAGAGAAGTGGCCATTACAGAACAGATCTACCATTGCCCTACTGCCATCCCCATTCACTTGACAACAATCTACATGGTTATCACGCAGTGATCAGGCACTAGGAATCCAGCTGAGCAAGGCAGACGGTCTCTACCCTTAGGGGCTTGTGATTTCATTAAGGCAAGAGGCACACATGTACATGTAATTATAGGCTGTGAAACACAAGGAAAAGAAATAGTGCTATATGTAATGGGGAGAGAAGCGGCCAACAGGGTATCTCTGAGAAAGCCATTTACAGGATTAGAAGGAACCAGTTATGGGAAAAGCAGGGAGAGCCTATTCAAGGCACAATACAAAAAGCCTGAGGCAGGAAAGAGGCTGGTATTATCTAGAGAGAACAAAAGTCTAGTGGGACTGACAGAGTGAACAAAGGGAAGAGTGGTCTGAGATGAAATGAGCCCCGCGGAGAGGGACTCACAAGCTGTGGTCTGAGTTTCTAATTTCTCCTAAGGGAAGCCATGGGCAGTTTAAAGCAAGGGAATGCCAAATCCCAGAACCAGGTCTCGGGGGTGGCACTGGTTAAGGTGACGATGGGCACATTAGAGATTAGTGCACATACCCGGTCAAAGGTGGGTGGGTACTGGGCTGCAAACTCCAATTGGCGGATAACCACTTCATTCACTGGGACTCTGTTCTGCTTCATGTCCTTCAAGATACCAATAAGATAGGTGTAGTCCAGCTTCTTGAGGGCTGCGTTGATGAGGGTGCTGTAGATGTGGGCATTGGGGGTCATCTGGAACTTCTGGAACATCAAAGACATACATTCAGAGAGACGATGATGACTTGGGGCAAAGTGGCCTGCTGCAGCATGTCCAAGCTTGAGTTGCCCTGCTAGTCAGGTCTGCTCTGCAGATGAGCGACCAGAGACAAGTAGGGCAGAACTGCGTAGCAACCATGGGCTGTACTGTCCAATCCAAAAGGACAGCACGCATGCCCCACTCTGTGGGTCCAACCCACATGGCTGAGGACCTTAACCCTCACAGTCCTGAGGAACCTGGACAGAAAGAATGCTTCTATCAGAGGTTAATGGACTCAGGCAGTAAACCATGGGCAGGAAACGCCCTCCTCGGCTCTTGCCTGTGGGTTTACGGCAAACCCCCACCCCACAAGAATTCTGATACATTCTTGCTCCATTCTACCCTCTCTCTCTCCAGAGTGTCAGGGCCAAGACCTGGTCCCACTCCTCAGTCTCACCCCACTGCCACCCGCTTCAAGACTGTAATATTCCCGCTCTCAATGCCCATTCCTGCAGCAGCTCACCAGGGCCTGCCTACTGTCTCTCAAATAGGGCCAATAATCATTCTATACTTGAAGCTAGAGTGATCCCACTCCCCCCGCCCTCCACCCACATATACATACTGTTTATCTTGTCTGGGTGCAGAAACCTGAGCAGGTTGGAAGGGCCCCCACTTGCCTCCACCCAGATTTCTTCCTGAGCACCCCCCAAGTGCTCCTCAGCACCAGGGATCCTGCCCAAGCCTGGGCACACTCACTTTCATGTCTGCCAGCAGCTGCAGACCATCCCTTGGCCTACGGCACCCGATGGCCAAATTGCAGAATGTCTGCAGGTTAGGGACAATTCCCCTCTTTGCCAGGGCTGGCAGCAGCGCCTGTGGGGACAAACATGGATAGTATCATGGTAAGCTGTAACTCACCAGCCCTGGCAAGAACCTTCTCTAGCAAAGCCCATGGCTGGACATTGGAGACCCCAGGGGCACAGCTCCGCTCCAAGGCCTCAGGCTCCTTCTGCTGGCCACATTGGGCACTAGCTTCAGCTTGGCATTCAAAGGCCTAGGGTCCTGTCCAGCCACCTCTCAGAGTCTAGGTCTCCAGAATTTAGCCACCCTACAAGTACATTCTTGCCTTCAAGCTTGCCTGTCCCCATTAGGCTATCCCATGTCCCTGAATGCTCTTAATGTTCCTGCCCGTCTCTGCTTCTCTGTCGGCCAACCACCCATGCACTTGAGCCTTCAATGTCCACGGAGCTGGCACCAGGGGCCCTAGGGGCTCATGGTCCAGGGTGGGAGACAACACCAACAACGTGAGAAGTGTTGACTGAAGGGCCCGGGCAGGGGGTGAGGAAGAGGACAAAGAACACCTACTCAGCCTGGCTGGGTCAGGGAGAGTCCTCAGGATGGGCTCTATCATATCTAGCTTATCTAAAGATAAGTATACTCTGCACTATGGGCCCGAAGGCAGAGGCTAATGTCTTTGTCATCTTGGATGCTCATCAGTGTTCTGGCAAAAAAGGCATCACACAGAAACACGTCGTATGAATGTCTTCATTGGTGACATGGGGAGAGCCAGATACCAGCAGTGTCTTCTGGTGTGGTCAAAAAAGACACAAATGGATGTGAAGCACTTAGAACAGCATCTAGCAGAGTAAGTGTGATGTCAGCGAGGTGGGGGTGAGGGTGTCTGAAGCGTACGGACACTCAGTAGCCACCAGGCCACATGTCCCCACGCCCCTCATGCCCTTGTTAGTGTGAGGATATGTTTGGTGTCTGCCTCCCACCAACCTGTGAGGAAGGCAGGGAGTGGAGCTGGCTAGTTCATCGCTCGATTTCCAGTTTCTCAACAGAGCCCAGGCCCAGAACAGGGGCTCTGGACAATCTGCCCGCTGACTGCAGGAATGGAAGACGCACCTGGCAGGAGAGCCGGGTTCCACAGTTGGAGGGTCAAAGGAGGGAAGGGGAACAAGGGGTCATAGCCCAGACCCCAGTGTTTGACTCCATGCCCCTCACCTTTGCCCCCTCCAGATCGCCCAGCTTGCTCTTCTTCCTCATGAGAGTGTTGAAGAATGTCACATCAGCCTCCAGCTGGTGCATGTCCAGGACTGTCAGCAGCGAGGACTCTGCAGGGCTCCCGGGCTCCACCACTTCCGCCAGCAATGTGAGGGTTTTGATGTCAGGCCTGAGCCCGTGCTCTGCCATCTTGCCCAGGAAGCCCTCCAGGCCCCCCATCAAGGCCAGTCTGTCAGCTGGGGTGGTCACGGTCCCAAAGGAGACCACATTCTGGGGGACCGCCCCCAAGGTCAGGAGGTTGGCTTCTAGGCCCCAGGGAGGCAGCTCTGGGGCCATGGAGGAGAGGGCCACTGCATTGTCAGGGTCCACTTTGGTTTCCACCTCGGACCGAGCCTTGCTGGGGACTCTGGCCTCCTGAGACTCTGGAGGCCTCTCAAGTACTTGAGAAGGTTCCAGAAACAGCTGCTTTTCCAAGTTCTCTACATGCAGCCTGGCTGAGACGCCACTGACAGTCCCAGCTTGGGCTTTCCTTCTTGCCTGCAGCCCACCTGCCGGGGGCTGGAGCAGCACCATCTCCTCCCTGGGCCTCAGGAGCAGTGCTGAGGCCACCTCTGGGTCCCCCAGGCCACAGTCCCGAGCTGCCCCCAACAGCAGGTTGTAGCTATGCTGGCTCGGCTGGAGCCCCAGATTCAGCATCTGCCTCCACACCTACCATGAGAGACAAATCTCAGCTCCATGCTCCCTCTTAGGACACAGATAGTTATCTGACCCCACACCAAACTATGGGCAACTAAGAATCTGAAGAATCTGGGAACTCTCTGGGAGACTTCATGGGGTGCTACTCCCTTCCTCCTTTTAGCTCACCCCAAAAATGTTCTTGTAGTTTCATCCCTCCACCCACTCCCAGGGCCCCTGTACCAGGAAACAGGCTTTGCCCTGGGTCTATGCCCACCTCTGTACTTTCCTGGGATAGACAGCCAGAGCAGCTAGGTTCAGGAAGAGTCAAGGTCAACTTCAGGATTGGATTCAGCTGCACTCCGAGTGCCTACTATGTGCTTCTCATATTTGAGAGCACAGAGCAAGTATGGGCAGAGGGGAACTAAGCCAGGTAGAGTGCCTCATTAACTGTGGGCCTAAGCAGCCACGTTTCCTCTCAAGATGCTGTGTTCTCCAAAAAGGGCTGCTCTGATCATGTCTAGGTAACTCTGACACCAAGATGGCACCACATGTGCTCAAGGTCTTACTTCCTCCTCTTCATCTCTGGGCTCAAGAGGAGGCCACACTCAGTGGGCCTAGAGCTCACATCTGACTTCCTGCCCTCATCAGGGACCAGTGTGCAGGTGAGGTGGGAGCTGGTCAGGTCCAGGTGGGCACACCTGGCAATTGGGATGCTGTCCTCTGGACAGGGTCTTGAGGAGGGCAAGGGTCTTGACAGGTACTTCCACAGAGAATGTTGACAGAATTGAGTTTTAGCAGGGACACAGATACTATTCCACGGTGGCAAGTTCTGACTCTAGAGTCAGACAAACCTTGGTTTCAAATCCCAGCTCTGCTGCTTAGTGGCTGTGGGACCTTAGGCAAGTTATTTAACCTTTGGGAGCCTCAGTTGCCTGTAAAATGGGGCTACTGGTGCCTAGCTCAAACAGTTTAATAAGTGCATGACACTGTGCACAGCTGTTAGTATTACAGACTGTTTCTAACTAGAACAGATGTAGGCCAAAGAGAGGAAGGAACTAGGTCTTGACAGGTTTTCACTATAAAGAAGCTGGCTGATGGCCAGAGGATGGCCGGCAGCCACTGCTTCTAGGGCGTCTGCAGAGGAGAGGCAAGTATTTGGTCCAGGGCTGTCCCAGATCACTGGGGCTTAAATTCTGTGCAGACCAACTGCCTAGAGATCCTGTTGAAATGCAGATCTGGTCCCAGTGTCTGTTGGGAGTGGTGGGGAGTCTGAGACCCTGCCTTTCTGGCAAGTCTCAAATAAGGTTAATGCTGCTGGTCTGTGCTCTCCACTCCCCCAACAAACCTGGAGGGCTCTAGGTAGCCTGTGGGTACTTTACCACTCCGAGGAGCTAGGAGAGCAGCTGTGGTACCACTGCTAATACAGCATACCCACTTGATGAGGGGGGTTCTCTCCCGGAGTCTGAGGTGAGGTTAGAGCAGCATGTCTCGACTTTGACATCTATGAGACTCTCCTAGGACTACATGCATCTCCTGGGTTCCCCCGCAGAGATACTGGGGCAGGAGGGAAGGCTGTGAGGAATGGCTGAATGAGCACCCTAGGTGGGTTTGCTGCAGACATTCAGGGACCATTACCTTAGCCAATGCAAGCTGGCTGCACAGAAAGCTGCTGAGCAGTGTGAGAAAGTGGGGGCTGGCTGTGCCCTCACTCTCAGGGCAGCCATGCTACCACCACCTCGAATGGCCTCCTCTCCCTGCTGTCTGTAAAATGGGGTGAGTGGGGGGAACACTGAGCTCTGGAAAGACCAAAAAATCAAAAATATGAAGACACTCAGCACAGAGCAAAAGCAAGAGCTCAAGAAATGCACACAGAATCATCACTGGCACCTGACCACAGGTTCACAGGAGAAGCAGGGCAGCAGGAGAGACAGGAAGGCACAGCCAGGAGGGACAGACCTGCAGGGCGTATCGGAAGCCTGTCTTCTTGTCCTGGATGCAGCCCATGAGCAGGAAACTGAAGGTTTCCTCTGTGACTGCATGCCCTTTATGAACAATTTCCTGGGGGAGAAAATGAGGAGGTCCCGTTAGAAACCTATGGCAGAGCCCAGGCCCACCCAAGGGGTCTGACTCTGGGCAGACATTCCCAGGTCTGCACGTCTTGAAGAGGTGGGGCCTGAATCTGGCTCTGGGGTCGGCTCAAAACCAGCTCCTGAGCAAAGCTGACTGCCGCCTACAGTTCCTCCTTTCTTTCCCAGGCCTCTCTCTTCCCAGCTGCCCCTATCACTTCTGTGCAGCCCTTCTGCAAAAACCGCCCCAGTGGTTACTTTTAGCCCCTGTACTCGAGACTTTGGAATTACAGAGCTGGCTTCAAGTCCCAGCTTTACCACTGGCCAGCTGTGAGAGAGTCAGCAAGGCTCCCCGGTCTTAGTTTCCTCATCTGTGGAGTAGGGTCACAGGTAGAATTTGCCTTAGAAGATCTTTGGAACAACCACACAAGATGGTGTGGTGACTGCACACAGCAAGTGCTCACAGCACTAGTTACCATCGGCCTCTCTCAGGACTGTTGGGATTGGCCATTGCCTTCTTGAGACATTTCTTCCACCTCTCAGCACCTTAGGGTCTCCTCCTCGAGCCTGTCTTCCTCTGTCCCTTGTCAGCAGGGGTGCTCCCGCCCCACTGCTGCCACTCTCCCATCTCCCCCTCTGTCGCAACCCTTCTACCTCAGTGAGGTTTTACTCCATGCTCTCTCCTGCACAACCTCAGCTATTTCTTAACTGGTCCTCTCCTCACCAACCAGAGTGGACCTGCCTAAAATACCAATCTGACATCTCTGGACAGATCAGGCCAGAGACCTATCAGCCACACTCCTTCTGGTACCGGCCTCACCCATAGCACCCTCTGGAGGAATTTGTCCCTCATAGAGAGGTCTCCAGGCTTAAGACTCCATGATCCTGCCTCTCCAGCAGGGCAGGCCCACTCAAGCCAGCTAACCCAGGGACTGGCTAAAGGCTGCTCTGCACCACATGGTGCCTGCACAGTCCATCAAGGTCCTCTCTCCTGGAATGGACAGGAGAGACATGCCTGCGTGCAGTGAGGAAAAGCGTCAGTCAGTAGTATAAGGAGTGAGACAGAAAGCAGCCAAGTCACCTTGGGTAGAACATAAGAACAGAGAGTGAGGCATGACTGAGTGAAGAGTACGAAGACAAGGCTGCCGAGGGCCTTGCTGAGCCCTGACACTGCCCTGGTTCTCCTGAGGTTTGGTTGTGGGGACCTAGAACCTTCCCTGTTTCCCATAAACTTTCATTTTGGTGTTAATTTGCATCTGTCTCACTTCCTTGCAACCTGAGAAAACAGAACCACCACCCTGCTTGTGGTCCTCCCTGCTCAAATTTCCTCCTAGTCTCTTCTGTATACCAAAAATAAAAACCCTTCTTACAAGGCCACTGGGGAGCAGAAGCAGCTGCAGGTCAAAGCCCTAATGCAGACAGGCCCCTGCTCAGTGCTCCCATGCCTCAAGGGAAACTTGCCTGTTTCCCTCAAACCCGACACACCGACCGGCTGGACTCCACAGCTCCCTGGACATTGGAGCTTTTTCTTCTAAGCAGGAGGCCCTCCCTGGGGAGCACCAATTCATCCTAATTGCTATGAGGCTGCCCTCCTCCATGATATCATGAAGTCCCACATAGCAGGACACAGCACACAGCAGCACACACAACCTACCTCCCTCATGGGGTTGGGGGCCTCTCTGTCCATCAGACCAAGGCCTCTGAGAACAGGGTCTCATTACGTTCATCTGTGAACCCAGAACCAAGCACAGGGCCTGTCTCACTGGCCCCTGAATCTTCTGCATGAAGGACACAAATGGCCACAGCCTCACACATGCTACATGGGGCAGGTCCCAAGTAGGAGGTAAGAAGGAAGGGTGTGCCCACCTTGAACACATCGAGGCACATCCTGAGGTCTGCACACATGGCAGCCATCTTCAGCAGGGCATGGTACGTTTTCAAGTTGAGCTGGAAGTTTCTGGCCTGGAGCTGCTGCCGTAGCTTCTGGGCACTCTGCAGAGCAGAGTCCTTCCAGGGGGACTCAGCGCAGACATTGAACAGGGCTGTATAGGTGGCATCTGAGGGCTCCAGGTCCCGCTTTTTCATCTGTGGAGATGGGGAGAAACTTGGAGGTGGCTCCAGGATCATCTGGACATACACAGGTGACAGCTACCTCAAGAGGAAGCTAGCGAGGACTCCGTTATTTCATTAAAAAGCCTGGAAGTGAGACCTGTGCTAAGGCAGAGCTGAATGACACATCAGAGCTTGGCTTTCCAAATCCAACTCAGCCTGACCCCACATCCCAGATGCATCAAACAAGAAACCATGCCCCTATAGCATTCATCAGCCCACCCTGGGCTTGAGGTGCTTGAAGCAGGGTCCTCCTGATGTTCCCACCCTCTGACCGACAAGGCCACCCTGACTGTTATGGGGCCCTGGGGTGAATCTGCTCTGGGTAAGAGCAGGAGGGAGCAATCAAAGCCCAGCTCTAGTGTTTACTAACTGAAGGGTCATGGGCAAGGTAGCTCCTATTGGAAAAACAAAGATGATATTGTCATCTTTAAAGGTTGTTGCAAGGATTAGGGAAGAGAGCGGCCCCCAGACCAGAAGCAGCCAGGAGCATGTTACTACAACACATCTCAGAGCCCTCCACCCTGAGGAGTCACAAACCCCAGGCTGGGGCCGACACTGTGCTTATCAAGCCTCCTGGTGACTGAGCCCCTGGTAAAGACAAGCACTCACTGTTCCTCAGAGAAGGGCCACCTGACCAAGGGCAGGCAACAAGCTGCTTCAAAGAGGACTATAAAGAACCCTGCTTTTAAAGTCAGGTTGTTTGGGGCTCAAATCCCAACTCCAGGGGTAACCTTGGACAAGGCTCTTTATCTCTCTGGGCCTCAGTTTCCTTATCTGAAAAATGGAGATGGTAATCCCAACATTGAGGATGACAGATGCTCTATATGTATTTATACATTCGACAGATGTGTACTAAGGACTTACAAGCCAGGCACTAGCAACCAGTGGTCACCAGGACAGACACAGCCTGTCTTCACTGAGCTTACACTCTAGAGGGGGAGACACACAACAGACAAATAACCAAAGACTAGTGAATGCTACAAAGGACACCCATGGAAAAAGGCTAGAAAGGGAAAAAGAGCACCTTCACAGTGGAGAAATCTGGCAAACACCACTTAATCAAGTGACCGAGGTAAATGTCACCTGTGATAAGTCATGCTGATGTTGTGAATCCCTAGTAAGAGAAGGGTACTTCGCCTCTGTGATATTCTTTCCCCAAACCCACATCCCCAGTCTTATTATGAGAAAGTACAGATTCTCAAATAATGGACATTCTACAAAATCCCTAACCAGTACTCCGCAAAACTGTCAAGGTCATGAAAAACAAGGAATCTCAGAAAATGTCACAGATTGAAGGAGCCAGTAGAGGAATCCAGATCAGATACAGGAAAGAAAGAGGATAGCAGTGGAAAAACTGGTGAAATCCAAATACAGCCTAGAGTTCAATTAACAGTAATGAACTAATGGTGGTTTCTTAGTTTTGACAAATCTACCATCGTAACATAAGATGTTAACACGGGGAAAGGGGGTGTGAGGGTATTTGTGAACTTTCTACACTATCTTTGTAACTTTTCCATAAATCTAAAATTATTCCAAAACAAGAAGTTTATTGGGAGGAAAAAGCAGCAAAGTAATAGAGTTAAATAGAGTGGCCTCGGCTTCTCTGAGGTGATGTGTGGGAAGTCCCTTAAGGATCCTCAGAATGTAAGGAAGTGCTGCTAAGGACTCTTAATCAAGAGCCACAATAAATGCCCCTCCCCCGCTTCATTTAGCACCTGAATGTTTTTCTCCTGGCTAGGTGATCAGGGAAGCCTCTTGTTTTTCTATGCCGTGACATTTAATTAGGTTTTGTTTTTTTTTTAAAGGATATGTTACTTTAACATTTCTAAGCACAATTCTTTCCACTTGCTTCTACGTAGAGATTATCAGGCCTAGAGTAGGAGTGTCCCAAATGACAAGACTAGGGTTCCCAAGAATCTTTGCTGGAGTAAACGATGTCTCAGCTTCTGGCTACAAAAGATAGGATCACTTCCGCTAGAGTCCACAGCTCTTTCCCAACTCACGAAAGAAATAGCTTCCTGGCTAAGAATAACAAATATGCCACACCCTAGAGATGGGTGAATGTAAAGTAAAACCATCTTCCCTGAGGAATGAAAGCCCTTTTTCAAAGGACCAGCTTTGGAAGAAAGGTGCATGTGTATGCATTTGTGTAGGGTGAGGGTAGGGATAAAAGAAAAGGAGCACAAACACACTTAGAATAGCAGTAGGAAAACACATAGGGCCTGCCATCATCCAGGCAGATGTTGGAGGACTTCCCATGTCACCTCATCTAATTATCCAAGATCGCCTCCATTTTACAGATGATGAAACTGAGGCCAGAGGGGTTAAATCATCTGCCCAGAGTCATGCCCTAGCAGGTGACACATTGAGGATTTGCACCTAGTTTTTTTTAGTACCCAAACCCATGCTCTTTGGAGCCTTGCCCCTGCCACCGCTACGCCCCCTACTCACATCGTTGTAGAGCCTGAAGGCCTTCTTCAAGTAGCCAGCCCGGCCACAGCCCCCAATCAGCACCGTGTAGTTGCACTCAAGAGGCTGGAGTCGCTCCTCCTTCAGCATCTGCCTCTCGAACAGGTCCAGAGCCTCAGCCAGCTGTGTGAGGAAGAAGGAACAACGGAGGGGAGTCAGGGTGGCTTCGAAACCCTCAGCAGAGGGAGGGAGGTTGAGACTGAGGGACCCTCCCTGAGCCCAGACCAGGCCTACTCAGGAGCTAAACACCTATCCTGGGCCTCTGTCACTAGCTTCTTGGCCCCTGTGCTCTGCAGCATGGGAGCTTTGTGGTAGCCGGAAAGGAAAGCCCATTGGATTCCCACCACCTATGGAAGCTCTCAACCCTACTGCCATGACTACCTTCCCTCTAGCCAGAAGGTGAGCTCCTTGAGGGCAGGGGCCAAAGATGTCTTTGCACCTCTGTGAACCAGGGCCTGGCACTCAGTTAAGTCCCCAGAAAATGTTAATTCTGTGAATCTCAGGACCCATCTTGCTCTCAATTCTTTGCTGACTCCACCCATAGTGTCCGAGCTGAACAGGAGGCTGGGTTCTGGTCAGTTTGGTGGGCATGCTGAGAACCACTATGCTGCACAAACATAGGGGGCCATTCACAGCAACAGCCTGCAACAGCGCAGGACGGCAGCTTGGGTGACTAGCTTTATCCAACTGCAAACTCCTTTGGCCCACAGTTGTCTTTACCCCATTCTCACCCTTAAACCATTTACATTCAAATCTTTGGTTCACTCCTTTACTAGGTTTTTTTTTTCATCCATGCATTCAAATAATAGTTACTGAGTCCTACTATGTGCCAGGCAAGATCTATTTGCAGGAGATACAGCAGGAAACAAGAGAGATTTCCCTCATGGAGCTCATCTTCTAGTGTGGAAAGACAGATATTAAACGAGATAACTAAAAGAATATATAGTATGTCAAATGATGATAGGTGCTATGAACAAAAATGAAGCAGTAAGGATCAGAAGAAGGGTATGGGAGATTCAGTTTTAGATACCACAGCTTAGCGGGGCCTCACCCAGATGACAGGTGAACAAAGATATGAAGGAGGTGCTATCTGAGGGAACAGCCAGAGCAAAGGCCCTGAATCTCAAGATGGGTCCTGAGATTCACAGTATGCTTGAGAGTTGGAGGAGCAGAGAGGAGGCTAGGAAGCTGCAGCAGAGTAAGTAGGGGGATGAGAGTGGTGTGGTAAGGGTGGGTAGAGGGGTGGTGGTGGAAGATCTTGCAGGCTTCATAAGCCATCGTAAGGACTTTGGCTTCTCTTTCCCAATTTTTCATTACGAAAAATTTCAAATATACACAAAAGTAGAGAGAACAGTGTTAATCACAATGATTATTAATGTTTGGCCAATCTTGTTTCACCTCTACCCTGCACTCCTCCTCCAAACAGAATTTCTTAAAGCAAATGCAAGACATGCTACCATTTCATTCATAAAGTCTTCAACACATACCTCCAAAAGAATTTTAAACATAAATGGAATGTTATTGTCAATACCTAAGAAAGCAAACATCTTCAATGTCACTGAATACACTGGAAGTTTTGGAGAGGAGTAACTCTATTTGCTTTCTGCTTTAACAGGACAGCTCTGTGCTGTGAGCCGACATCTGGGCAGGAGGTGGCAAAGGCAGTGGGAGCCCAGTAACAGGTGTAATAGCTGAGGGGGGGGCAAGGAGAAGGCTAAGCCAGAGCGTTCAGGGGTCGGGTTTTGAGAAGTGATGGGACCGGCAACGTTTTGAAATTAGAGCTGGTAAGAGAGTTAGGAATGACCTGAAGGCATTTGGCTTGAGCAGATGGAATAGTGGGAGTGCCATTTAGATGAAAAAAGTGTAATGAAAACAAGGTTGGGAACAAAAATTTCAGGTCGATGTGGGTAAGTGTAAGGGAGAATTGAGAAGGTAGCTGGATACACAGGGAGTCCACAGGAAGACCGGGCTGGAGATACAAATATGAGGGGACACTGAAAGCAGGAGCCTGGTGGGTCACCCGGTATAGCACCCAGAGAGAGTAAAGAGGAGATAAAAGCCCTGAGCATCCCAACCTTTAGAGATTGAGAATGTAGGGTGGCCCTTCACAAAGTACTGAGCTACCATGGATACAAGAGCCAGGAGCAACAGAATCCAAAGGTTCCCTCACCTTTCCTTCCTTGATCAGGCGTTTGCACTGAAAGAAGTACCAGTAAGGGGTGTTTCTCCGGCCCTGCCATGATTTTGGCTCCAGCTCCCTTTCTTCATCCTCTTCAGCACTCTGTTCCATGAGCCGCAGGTTATACAACTGGGCCGTTGATTTGCGGAACATTCTCCGGGAGGAGTATTTATCAGAAAGGGTCCCAAAGCTCTCCTCCTCCTCTTTCTCCTGGGTGGCCACAGAGCTGGGCTGGCTCGGGTCAGAGCTGAAGCTGCGCGTGTTCTTCTGGCTCCCCTGGCCGAGGGGCAGCTGAGAGAGGGAGCTGCTGAAAGCTGCTGGTGTTGGCCCAGTCAGCCCCATGGCCCTCAGCCATACAAGACTCTCCCTACCTCCTGCCCACCTGGCTCTGAGAGGGTCAAGGTGTTGCAAGACAGACAGTCCCCTGGGGCAGGGGCTGGAGAAGAGCCGGGCAAGTCTCACAAGGTCCATCGCTGGCTTTTACCTCCAGGGCCTAATATAGGTCAGAAAAATAATGAAGTCAACTCAGGTTCATAGCCCAAAAAGGCAGATAGACAGAGAACTGGTTACAAACTGAGTCCTGAGGTTAGAAAGCCTAGCTTCTGACTCAAGCTCTACCAAATAACCATCCGTGAATCCCTGGGCCCTCACTGCTCTGGCCTCAGTCTCCTTGCCTGCAAACTGGGGTTAACTATGTCACCTACACAGCACTAGGCAATGACTGAATGAGGTCTCAGATACACTGCATGCAGCACAGCGCTGGCACAGTAGACACACAATAGATACAAGCTATTGATATTATTGAGCCATGATGTAAGGGCACAGGTACTGAAATCAGAGCTAAGTTTGAGTCCTAGCCAGAGCTGTGTGACTATGCCCATTACTTGACGACGTTCCTGTGCCTCAAATTCTTCAGCTGCAAGATGAGGATAATCACACTCACCTCACCATAAGGTTAAAAAGATTAAATGAGATGTTTTTAGCACAATGCCTGGCATTTAATAGGTGTTCAAAAAATTGTAGCTATTATCATTTATTAGGGAAAAAAATGTTGGCATTCTGGGCCTCTGCACAGGAGAGCTAACTCAAGCATTTCTTTTCTGCAAAAGTCATGGACAAATGGGTTAGAGCTGTGCTATCCAATATTATAGCTACTGGCCACATGTGGCTACTGAGCACATGAAATGTAGCTAATTGGAGATGTGCCAGAAGTATAAAATACACGTCAGATTTCTAAGACTTTGTACAAAAAAATCAATATTAAATATACACATCATTTTACATGTTGAAATAATATTCTGGATACACTGGACTAAAGAAAATTTAACATTAATTAGAAATTTCTTTTGACTTTAATATGGCTACTTGAAAATTTAAAATTATATATATAATTATATATGGACATATACAGCTGTTGGACAGTGCTAGGCTAGAGGTCCTACTCTGCATACTTGAAACTCTCATAATATCAAAATAACCAGCGTGAAAATATTTTAAGGTCTGGTTATATCAGATTATTGTTAGAAAGACCTCAGTGGTGATGGCAGACTGAACAGATTAATTACTGAGGCCCAGGAAGGGTAGTGACTTGCTGGAGGCCCTGCAGCAGTGCTATAGGGAAGACTGGCCAGCTGTGGAGGTTTTGAATCCAGGTCAAGGACAACCAGCAGGTTGTGACACTAGTGCTGAGGGCCTTTACTGGTAATTCCATATCTGGTGAATCCTGCGACTCCAATAGAAACAGAATGCGCGCGCATATGTAATTTAAAATTTTTAAATAGCCACATTAATTAAAGTGTTTACATGCATGTTTACATGAAATGCACGGGATTACCAAAAAAAAAAAAAAAAAATTGAAATAGGTATCAGATGTTTTAAAAACAAACTTATGATATATGCTTCTTTTCAATACACTAAAAACAAGAACCTATCATTCTGTCAAAGTAGTAATGAGTGGAAATTATAGCTTGTATTGTTGTAGATATTCTATCTCCAACTACTCATTTACATTCATCCCCACTTGAAATCACGACTTAGTTTTGGGCACTAACGATACTCGTCAGTCTGGGAAGGAAATGCTCAATTTCACAGAGACAATAAAGGTGTAATTTTCTTCCTACCCAAAGTCATTAATCTGCCCATGCTAATAACCCCTGAATTAGACACGCTGCCGCTGTTTTCTCTCGGGGGACCCGCCCCTCCCCAGACGCCCCCAGGGAGCCTCAGGCCAGTGGCTTTTAGAGCTTCGCTTTACTCACCGGACGCCCCCGGCTAAACCCCGACTGCTACACTCGCTGCCCTTCTGACCTGTCCCCGTCCAGGTTCCAGGCTCCTGTGAGAGTCAAATACGAACTCACTCCGAGACTGGCCAGTGAACGCGGCTCGGTGCCTGCTCGCCCTGCATCGCCCACCCGCCGGATCCTGCGTCCCCGCCTCGCTGCACGAGGTTCTTCCCAGCCACCTTCTCTCAGGAGAGCGCCCCAGCCGACCAGGCGCAGGCGCGATCTGGGTCGCGAACTCTCCGCCTGTACAGATTCACAGGCGCGAGGCCAGGCGGGAGTTCGGCTGGCGGCTAGCCGGGCCTAACGGAGCAACCCATACTCCATGTTCGATTGGTCCGGTCTGAACGGGAGACGGGCAGGCGCGGGCTCCAGGCGCTCCCGGCATCCCTCGGGCGGCGGTAGTGGCGGCGGCGAGGTTAGGCGAGACGAGGCGAAGGAGGACCGTGTGCGGCGGCCCGTGGCGGGTAGGGGTGTGAGGGCGGCCAGGTACTCAGGGAGAGCCGGGCCGGTGGGGCCGCCGCCGCCGCCATGCAGGAAATCATCGCCAGCGTGGACCACATCAAGTTCGACTTGGAGATCGCGGTGGAGCAGCAGCTCGGGGCGCAGCCGCTGCCCTTTCCGGGCATGGACAGTGAGCGTGGGACGGGGGACGGCGGGTGAGGGGCGTGACCTACTCAGACCTAGGATCCCTCCCCGTGGGACCTAGGACCCTTCCCCCTCGGTCTTGGGACTTGTACTCGAGAGCACCCTTCCTCGGATCTTTGACTTGCTGGGGTTAGTTTAAGGTAGTCTTCAGGAGGGCAAGACCATGTTCGGCTGTTCCAATAATTCTTGAAGGTGTATGTCCGGGATTGGAAAACCTTCCTCCGCCCCCACACACTTTCCACCTATAGAAAAGTACTATATATCCGACTTACCCACCTCCAGCTCCCTACCATGAGCTGCTTCTTGCTTTCATCAAAACTGGACCGTTGGAGGAGTCTGACTGAGGGAAGAACCACCTCTCCCTCTCTGTAAGAGATCCCAATTAGACTCACTCCTGGGAGCGTATCGTTCTTTATCTCGACCTCAGCTCTGGGTCATTCATCACATCCAGGCATCTGCCTGAGTTCCCTTCACTGTTCCCTGTCACATGGTGGCTCCTGGCTTCCTCGCCCGCAACTTAGAAAATCTAGCACTTTAAAAGAAACCAGCAGTTTTTATATCTTCTCTCCTTTAGAGACACACTTGAAACCTAATACTATAATATTAAAGCTTAGGGGTTATTGAGTTTAATCAACAGATGGGGCAACTGAGGCCTGGGTGGGGAAAGGGACTTGCTAAAGACCACTCAGTGTATGGTGAGCCAGGTGAGCTCTCCAGTGTTCTTGACCTGTTCTGACTGCTGTTCCCTGAGCTGTCTCCCATACTCAGAGATGTGTAGCCCTTCTTTTCCCTCTGGTCCTGGGGCTGGAAGAGCCCCCCTGCAGCCTCATTCCCCTCAGGTGGCCTTACTTCTCATGCATGCGTGACCTCTGAGTTGTCTCAGTTATGCTGACATTTCTGTTCAAGATATTGCTTATACTTCAAACAACCTTCTTTTATACATCCACAAGCACCGTCTCCACTGTACATATCTTATAAGCAGCTTCTCAAATTTAGATACTTTTACCTACTCTCAATACATGTGATCTCTTTGTGCTTGTGCATGCCCACCGCCTTCACACAAGTGGCCTTTCCCTGTGTTAATGGCACTAGTTTGAGGCTGTGAAACCATCCATGCAGGACAGCT